AGATAATATGACAATAAAAACGTATATTACAAGTCTGACAAGAGATAAATCATATAAATTTTACATAGGATGCTTACAAAATATTACTTCAAAGTACTTATGCATTTTGGCTTGTAGCCTTGTACGTGTATGCATAATCTCTAATATAAGTATATATGCTTTCTACCATACATATGATATTCATAAGTAGTGACCGTAGATTCCCATTAATGTTTAAGAAATATTATTAAACAAACGAGAATGCTGGAACGGATACAAAACTCCAAGAGGTTACATTGTGAATAACTTGTTCTCTAATGAATAACAAAGCACCCTATTTATAATAAACTAACCATAATCTCTAACAAAACCTAATTCTAACCGGCTAAGCCCATAAAACCAAACATTCAAATAAACCAAAATACTAATATTTTCCAACACCCCCTGTCAAACTCATGGCGGTACACGACATGAGTTTGCCAACAAGCAGATGTGGATGCAAGCCTCCAAATTCCGATGCCGATGCCGATGCCGATGCCAATTGCGAACTTCCGAACAAACTTGAACAAACTGATACGCAGCGGACAAACGGATGAACAAATTGATACCCATCTAGAACAAATTAAATTCCGAAGAATTGAACCTGCTCTGATACCAAGATGAATATCAGAGTGCGCAACGAACAAGACTAACAAGAATAATAGAAATATTATTAAACAAACGAGAATAACGGAACGGCTACAAAACTCCAAGAGGCTACATTGTAAATAACTTGTTCTCTGATGAATAACAAAACATCTTATTTATAATAAACTAACCCTAATCTCTAACAAAACCTAATTCTAACCGGCTAAGCCCATAAAACCAAACATTCAAATAAACTAAAATACTAATATTTTCCAACAAATTCAAGTTTTAAGACTTTATTATAAGCTTAAGTCGTTTTGTGAAGCCATGCAAACAATGACGTACGGAAGAACCTCGACATATGTTGCGTGCATGGGTCGAGTTATTTGACAAAGCAGTGACCTGCAACGTTGACGTTGTGATTTGAAAGTTTCACTCTTCATCAGCTTCGGATTAAAAAACTATTTCTCTGAAATTAGAGCAGCCCATCTTCTAATTAGTTTGCCTATAAATAGGCTGCCCCAGTATTTGAGGAAAAAGCAGCCAATTTAATTAAGCAAAGATCAAATTTAGAAATTAATTAAGCACAATGGGGAGATCTCCCTGTTGTGATGAAAGTGGTCTCAAGAAAGGACCCTGGACTCCTGAAGAGGATCAAAAGCTTGTACAATACATTGAACAACATGGCCATGGAAGTTGGAGAGCTCTTCCAAAGCTTGCAGGTTTGCATACAATATATGATTAATTAGCCTCTCTTTGTTGATTAAATTGTTAGTTTACAATCGAGTTACAACCGACTATCGATACTCAAAATCTTAAGCTAACATTATTCCTAGTTGACTACCCCCAAAACATGGATTGTCACTCTCCACGTTATTGAGATTTGAATTCAAGATCTCCTCCCTGATATCCTGATAAGATAAATTTATTGGTTTTACCACTTAAATTGCTATCATTTTCTATGTTTTAGGTCTCAATAGATGTGGGAAGAGTTGCAGGCTAAGATGGACAAACTACTTAAGACCCGATATCAAAAGAGGCAAATTTTCTGAAGAAGAGGAGCAAACAATTCTACATCTCCATTCTATCCTTGGAAACAAGTAATGCTTTATTCCATGATCAAACACATAAAAGTTTTCAACCCTTCCTTCTACATATATGTTTGCATAATATCAAAGATTACTCTTATATATTTTTGCTTAATTACAAGATGGTCAACAATTGCAACACACTTAGACGGCCGAACGGACAATGAAATCAAGAACTTCTGGAACACACATTTGAAGAAAAAGCTGATCCAGATGGGTTTTGATCCAATGACCCATCAGCCAAGAACTGACCTATTTTCCAACTTGTCTCAGCTTTTAGCCCTAGCTAACCTGCAGGATCTCATGCAGCAATATCAGCCATTAGATCACATTAATCAACATGATGCAACATTACACGCAGATCAAGCCGTTCAATTGACCAAGCTTCAATACATTGAGCATTTACTCCAATCCGTAGCTTATACAAGCAACAATGACACTTATACCCAGAACAGAAGCACAGAGATGGAAATGGATGATCAGGCTTTTAATTTGTTAAGCTCGATTAATATTCCTCCTAGCAAAGAAACCCCGAATTTTAATTCACTACAACTGGAAAATCCAAGCTCATTTTCTCATGGATATGGTGGTAATTCTTCTCAACCACTCCACCATCTTCAATCCCTACTGCCTCATGACCTAGCAGACCCACAAGTCGCTTTCAGTTCTCTACCATCTTTGAATAACAGTAACCATGAAGTGGGCCAGGGCTCCAACTTTACAGTGGTCCGTGGTCAAGAAAAGAACCCATCCGATGAATCTTCATGGTTTAATAATCTTGTATCTCCTACCGCTTCTATTCCTCCAACCAGCAATGTTCCCGGAGATGCGTACTGCAGCAGGTCAAGCTATGGAGGAAGAAGTAGTGATTCTTCATCCTACTGGCCTGACCTTTTTCTTGAGGACGCCAATTATGGTTGAGAATTCTTACTTAACGATTATTTTTACAGATTGAGAAAGATTCAGTGGTTGCAGTTTTTGTCGTTGACTCGTTAATTATTTCCTCTTCCTACATGCATTTGCAAGCGTACATATACCTACTACAGATACGTGTGATGTCATGCATATGTATGAATACTTGTACATGTACAAACTAGCTTGTATAAGTTTACGCATTATATATATATATGTACATTATTGTTATGGCATGAGTATTTAATTTTACCCTCCTCCCTCTACTGTTTTTAAGATCAATTATATTTTGCTTCCGTTCTCGTCTTATAAATTTACAAAAAAAATGGGGAAAGTCATACATTGTTCTGTCTAATTCTCAAGTTATATTGTTATTTTATAAAAGGATGATGCTAGAGATGCTATCTTTTCATATCATATATTGTAGACCACATGATATGACGTTTGATAGTTAAATTCCTTCATTAAATCATTAAAAATAAAATTTAACCATCAACTTCCATATCATGTTGTTTTAAAATATGTTCTCTCTAGTGTTTTCCTTTATAAAACTGTTTTTAACTTAGACACTACATTGGTGGCACTACTGTAAGGATTAAAAAATTTATAGTTGCTCCACTTTTAAAAAGACAAGGACCTTTTACACCTAGTACGGTGCTAACTTCTCAACTTCTAGAACGAGAATACTTTGCTTTTCATATGTAATAAATCATTTCTACCTAAAGCCAAATCACAATTTGATGTGTCTGCAGTATTTTTTTTGTTGCGTTTTTATAAGTTAATAATATATACTGTATCAAACTGTAATTTGCATGTAAAAACGACTTTTTACAAGTAAGGAACCAAACAACGTAGGCTCCAATTACTACATTACGGTATGATTTTTCGGACATAAGGCTATTTTATTATTCAAAATTAAATATAGATCAATGCTCTAGGCCGCTGCTTATCCCCAAAACGGAGGCATACAAATTAAGTGTAATTCACTCTTCTTTTTAACTTACTAACACATCAACTATCATATCATACAATCTTATCATTACTCAAGAAAACATGGCAACCCATTATCCTGACGATGTCGCAAAGTATGTTTGCAAAGTTCTCACTTTCTTAAGACAATAACCAGCTAACAAGGTCTACTTTTATTTTACTTTATCAACAAGAGGCATTCTAGAAACTTCTCGCTAAACTATCTCTATAAGCCAATGAGCAGACACACTGAACACTGAAGTCCTTGAAGGGGTTGTCCCTTGGTTCCCTCCACTACTCCTCCTCCTCCTCCTTCTCTTCCTTAGTATTCATGTGAATAGTGTTTGCTCCTTAGCCATCTTGTGCTAGGTTTCTTGACCTTGGTTTTATCTTCTCCCGAGTTTGGTCATTTTCTGGATCTACCTTGTGAGGCTAGATCTTTCATGATTCATGAATCTGCCATCTTTCTATAGATTTGTGTCAAATTTACCTTGCACGGTTAGATATTTGATAAATCTACTATTTTAGGCTTAAGTCAATCAGACATTTGATAAATTTGATGTTTTGCCCTTAAGGCAATCAAGGCTAAATCACATACTAACATGCGTTTTAATTTCTCGTAACCGCCTTTGTGGCATCCTGAGGCACTAGTACAAGGCCATGTGGAGAGAGCCTCACACAAGACCTTGTATTAGTGGTCAGAGATGGTGAACCTATTCATTGAAGTTGCTCTTCCTCCATAGCAGTATATCATTGATTTTAGACACCACAATGACATGTCGTTGCATAAAATATCATCTTAATAAAAATAGCATTCATAGTAGAAGCAACCCGGGTATTTATAACTTTCATTTTGTTCTTTAAAAAACAACTTAATTATACTGAAGTTGGTCATGGACTCATGATTGTCAAAGCAACAAAGAAAATCAAGGTTGATTAGGTTTCTTCCTCCACCATTTTTCCCAACTGAAAGAAATAAACTTCACCACCACCTAATCCTACCCCATGGTTGTACACCACTCCAAGTTTCTTATGTCATGGTAATCATCTTCAAGACGTTACTTATGTCATGACAATCATGATAAATAATTTTTTTGTCTAAACAATGGTGATGGTTGTAACCGACAACTAACAAAGACAAGGATCTTTGTTTTCAAAAAAAATTCAACGGCCATATTCCGGACTTCTAACTACTTTTTATATTTTTAAATCAAAATATAATAGTTAAAACACTCAGGGTATTAACAAATATTTAGTGAATTAGCCAAACCCTCCCTACAGACTAGGGTAATTAGTAATTAGTAATTACCACCAGTGCCTACTCACTACCAACCCTCCTAATGACCTAGGGCTAACTTAGCCAGTCTATCCTTTGATCCTCTAAGTAGCAAATGCTACATGTTTTATCAGTATTCAAAAGATTCCTAACAAAAGAAAGAGCTATGGTTGCCATTAACTATCACAACAATGTGTGAGCGACTGTCACTAACATAACTATCTAAAGTTTTAGTTATTGGAAAGAAAAACTACTTGGGAGTTAATTCGAAGTTTGACAGGCAGTTCTGTTGGCATAAATGATATATCATTCACCATTGACATGAGATACTAAAATCAAAGCAATATACAACTTCTGCTTATAAGGTCGTACCCCCACCATCTGATAAAAGAGATGCAGCAGCCGCAGCAGCAGTAGGAACAACCCCAGTTGAAGTGCCCGGTTTTGACAAATGCAGGAGCCTGCAAAATCGATTCCAGGTGTATGAGTCAAGTAAACAAATTTTCATCATGTGCATCATAAACCTTAAAATCAGTTTGCATCATGCAGCACTCTCTTGTAGTCTCATCACTTATAAAATGATCAACCAACATGGAAGAAATGGTCAATTTGGATCCTTTGGGCCAATATGACTGCTGATAGACCATTGGGACCCCTAGCCATGACACATACAAGGAACAATCTTATGTTGTAGCCGTTTGGGAGGGTTGTTTAATGCTTCTTGAAAGAAAACATTTCAAAGGAAAAAAGAAACTTACGGTGCAAGATATTCACTAAAAGATGATACTGCAGCAACAACTTCAGCATAGTTTTCAGATGTAGCAGGAGCTGTTACTTCAACCAGCTGTATCCCAGGAGTTACAGGGACAGCCGCATCTATGTCATGTAGTTGAAGCATCTTATTAACTGATGACACCGTCACATTGATCTGCGTGCCCCTCTGGAAATGGAAGGAGAATCCCACCCTTAGCAGCTCATGGTCCAACTTGTATCCAAGTGCATAAAAAAAGCGAAGCACATTCTTGCTTGTTTTGCTTTCAACCACGGATCTTACTAGCACTGAAAGTTGCTCAGCACCTGCACCTCTCATAGCACCCCCTATATGCCTTATAGTCCTGCAGATCTAGAATTAGGCATCAATGCAAAAGTATGTACGTAAAACACAAACTAATACATTTTAATGAATATGCCAGGGGAAGTTTTAAGTCATACCATGTTGGTTCAGTTTGTTCACTTTGTTCAATATCGCATATAAGTCGAACCTCTGATGCTACAAGCCCTATTTAAAGGAAGATCATAACTTGTAAAGACCCACAATATAATATCTTACTATTCAGCTGATATGTACTGAACCAGACCATACTAACAAAAAATAATGACAAATTAACATGACCATGTGAGATGTCGTAGTCAATAAATGAAACATACTGTATACTATAGTTGTCAGTCCTAAGAAGTTGAAGAAATCAGAAACTCTTTACAAAAATTCATCTAACAGTCCCATGCATCTCACATTGGAAAAGACAATGGACATCTGGGAAAAACTTGTCATTAAAGCACACCAGTGACACCAGGGGAGGCTTTTAACATGTCTTGAAATGAGCTCACAACAGGCAAAAGAGCTATAATGAATATCGCTTAATTGTGTAGAAATGTGTTGAGATATAGCATCCTAACCACTCAGATCGAAACTAAAAGAGGAAAGATATCAATTACCAAGGTTTGGGCCATTTTTAAGGCATATCTCATGGACCCTCAAATTTTTCTTGCTAACACCACAAAGACCCTGAAGAAGAATCTCAAGGGCCTCAACATGCTGCAAAATGCAAACCATATTTTAGATGCAGCTCCAAACACCTCCCACGGAAAGCGGGAAATGGAATTCTTCTAGTTATTTTACTTACAATTCTGAACAACATATATCCAATAAACACGAATCATTTGTGCATGCAAGAGGAAAAAGAACTACTAAATCAAATGTTTGTAACAAAGATTTTTTGGGGACTAACTACATTTTACACCCTCCATATTTATTGTGATTTTTAAAATGGGCCAACGAGGTTTTAATTTTCTCACATTGCACTATGATGTTTAGAAATCGTTTCAGTTTATGGGTTCCTATCTATTTGACTGTCTCATCCTTCATTAGATTGATGACCTGGCTGATGTGGAACCCGTTTCTAGGTTGTGTAGAAACCACACTTGGACTATTGTTACCAAATTGTGCAACTGTATCGTTTTGGGACGATTATTTTCAGTCCATGTGGTGCAAATGTTGCTTCCGCATCAACCCATAAACAGGTCTCGTGGTTACCAAGTCATCAATTTAACTCACAAAGCGAATGTCAAACACCCATAAGTCATATGTCACTATGATTCTAACATATTAACCTCAAATGAAGCATTTGGTAAACTTGGCCACCAAAAATTCAGCACCAAGAAAAAGATTTAATTTTTTTCTCATCTAACTGCAAATTTGCAATTTCAGAAGTTGTATGGCGAAATGTAAGTCCGAATCCAACCCAACCCCCAAAAGTTAGTGAAAAAACTCACCTGTGTTTCTATAATTCCTTGGACCACGCACTCCATGAATTTGGTGCACTTGATCTCGCACTTTCTCAAGCCCCTGTGAATTCCTGAGAACCAAAACAAAGAGAAAAAATAAAACCCAATAAACTGTAAACTAAAATAAAGTAGAATTAAAGGAGAAAATATGAAGAATCAAAACGTAAATTTCTGAGAGAGTAAACTAGATAATGAAAAATACTAACCAGGTTTGCAGCAGCAATACCGCGCAAGCAGAAAGGTGAAAAGATGGAGAGAGGGGAAGAGGGGGTATCGGGGTTTCTGTGTTAGAATTCAGAAGCTTGGAGAATCGAGCGAGGAGCGATGGTGGTGGCAAAGCGCATTGATTGCGGTCATGGACCCTGAAAAAAGTTGAAGGCTTGAGTGAACAAGATGTCTTTACTGGGTTTAACATTTTTTGGGCCCTTGAATCGTCTACTTCAAAAGCCCATTTTTGCTTTTGAACATATTTTCTCTTTTACAAACGATAAGATAAATGGATTCGAATTTGAGTGTAAATGAGGACGCACATGCACCAAGGGTAAGGGTGGACACGGTTTGGTTCGATGCGGTTTTGAGTGAAACCGCAACTTTTTGCGGTGCAGTTTTGAAGCCAAAACTAAAATGAAACCAAATTGTTTGATTCAGTTCGGTTTGATGCGGTTTCAAACGGTTTTAGTTTGGTTTTTGATAAAATATATACAATTTAAAATTTATACTTATCTACACATAACACGGTCTCATTTTCCACACAATACATTAATTAACCAACCCACATGAGAATTCTTTTCTTTACTCTAGCTAGCTAATTGCACAGATGATAGACTCCATGAGCACGAAAGGGTACCCAAAAGGAGTGTTGTGGCTTATTACTTGATTAGAAATTCGGTCCTTGTATCTTTCCTACTGTGACTACTCTTATTTGATGCTCATTGTTTCTTTTTTTAGTTTTCATTTGCATTTCTAATTAGAATATTATATAGGCTGTCATTATGAACTTGTAAATTAGGGTTCTAGGTGCTTTTACTAGTAAAAAAAATTTCATCTTTTCCTATAAAGAAACATTGAGATGCCAAGCTTGATGAGGGATATAATTTGGAAAAAATAATCAATATTATGACATGTACATACTAAATGTATGGACTCTAACAAACAACTAATTAAAACAGGACATCTAATTTAAGGTGCGGTTTTGGTTTCAGTGCGGTTTTCAAAAGCCAAAACCAAAACCAAACTGTTTCCTACAATGCGGTTTGGTTTCAAAACCGCAAAACTAAACCATTCGGTGCGATTCGATTTGGTTCGTGTTTCGGTTTCAGTTTTCGGTTTCAAGTGTCCACCCCTAACCAAGGGAGATGAAAAATGTTAAACATTAAATTTAAAGTTTACGGTGTACGTGACAATTTGACATATTGTAAAACTTTCTTTTTAACAAACGATAGGATAAGTTAAACTAAATTCTTCTAAACTACAGGGTGGGAAATTCAAACACGAGACCTTGAGTGCAAGATAAATAATCTTAATCACCCAAGTTACAAGCCACTTGTTGACATATTGTAAAATTTTACACCACTCGAGATGTCAAATTAAAATATCATTTTTTTACATAATCACAACGCAATATTAAATTAATAAGTAATTAAATAATACTTTCGTTGGATGATGCCTTTGTTGTTCTTTTAGATGTGTTGCCGACATAAATAATTATTTAATATCGAACTCATCATATACGAGTATTATAAGTCAAACTTATAATAGTCCTATGGATAAGTGTACAATCGCGCCATACGTAGTGCTAAGTGCTGATAATGAGTGTTTAAATAATTGTTTTTTTTTTTTGGACCTACCGAAGTAATATGCCAAATGGAAGGGAGTCAGCAATGCCTGTCTCTCCCAGAGTCCCAATTCCAGGCCAGCTATGAGCTATCCCATTCCGAAAATCCAAGCTGCCAATGGAATCCCAAGTTGAGACAATGAGATAATCTGATTAATTTAATTGCAGAAACAAAATCCCTAAACTGGCAAAATATATTGTATCGTGTAGCCGGAATTGGAATTGGAATTGGAATTGAAATTAGATGCAGGCAAAATAAAATTGTTTTTTTTTTACGAACTGCTATTAGTATTTCAAAAATTTCATCGCACGCGTATTTTTTTTCTCTATATATACAAAGTTTAAAGTGCAAAATAAAAATTCTAAAGTATCAATAACAATTTTATTTCTGTTTAAATCAAGCTTTGGCAATAATTGGCCCATAATTACTTTTAAACAATTATAGTGATTAGACAATAAAAGATAATTTTCGTGAACTAGTGATTGGTCATCATTAATCTCATAAGCTTTTTTTTCTTTTCTATTTTTTTTTAGTTCTTAAATGACCAAAAAATTGTATATCAAGCTTACATCCATGCAACCTCATCTTATAATTTGGGAGATATTTGATGCAAAGAGAAACATATGTACCCAAGGGGCGGAGCCAGTATTGGCTGACATGGGCTCTAGCCCACAAAAAGAGTTTTCAAGACACGAGTATATTGTTATCATGGTGTCTTGTGCTAATAATATAACATTAAGTAAAAATATTTCATGTTATATTATATTATTGACAAGTGATGTCACGATAATAAAATACTCATATCATAAAAGTTGTTCTCTCCTTCTCGTACCATCTTTTGATAAATGTGAAAAACAAAGGAAAAGTTGGTTTTCAAAGCGTAGAATCTAGCTTACGCCTACACCTAAATTTCACTTCATACTAGAAGGAAGCAAAAATTAATACCCATCCCAATATAAATTTTTTGGTTCCACCTTTGTATACGCACAACTTGTTGAGGTTTTTTGACTTGGAAAGGGATCCTCTTCAGATCCTTTCCACCAAATCTACTAATTCGGACCCTTGAAATTTGATCTAACGACTAAAGTTATTATAACTTTTAAAGGGGTTTCATGTTTTTAGCCGTTTAATCAAATTTTCATGGTCCGAATTGATGGATTTGATGGAAAGAATCAGGAAAGAATCACTTTCCGTCTAACTGAGTACAAGTCATAGATGTGGACTTAACTCACATTGAAAGTACCACAAGAATATGACATAAGAGTTTTTTTGAGATAAAAAAATACACTGCTTTGGGTTTAATGAGTTTTTTAATTATTATTATTTTTTTTGCTTATTTTCGATCAACGAAGATCCAATGAGCTTGAGCCACCTTCTGTTACTTGAATGAATTTTATTTTTTTGGACAAACTTGAATGGTTAAATTGAAGACAGTATCAGTGCATATGATGTAGTTATAGGCTTATGTTAATCCTGTCCACAAACACCTTTATCATTTTCTATTTCTTCTAACACTTAACAAAGAATAATTTTCCCTAAAATAAAAACAAGAGTTTTTATCATAAATGGTCCTTGAAATTGATCTTCATCATCAAGATGATCCCTGAAATTAAAAATCAATCAATGTAGTCCCTGAAAATAGGTGTCAACAAATCAATGTGGTCATTCAGTCATAATTCTGTTAAAAATTCCATTAAATGCTGATGTGGCACATAGATAGGCCTTACAAGATTTACGGGTTTTTATTACAAATGATCTCTAAAATTGAAAATCAATCAATGTAGTAATTGAAAATAGGTGTTGTAAATCAATATAATCATTCTGCCACAATTCTGTAAAACAATTTGTATATGTGTTGATGTAGGTTTAATAATTAATTCAAAAAATTGTCTAAATACCTTTTTGCACAATGGAATATTTATTTTCTTATAGTATGGCCTCAAAGGCACAAGGCTTAACTGTAATACCCGGAAAAATTTAAATATATGAATTGGGTATTCATAATTATGAATGTGTGAAAAGAATTGAGAATTTATATTAATTCATAAAATTTTAGTTGTAAATTTAACTAGTTAAGAGGTTTAAAGTTGGACATTAATTATTTAAAATACATAGACCTTTCGAGGTCAAAATTTATACTTTTGAATAGAGCTCGATCTTACGAATGCGTAGGCGCAAACCGTTCGTGAAACGGAGTTAGAACGAAGAAGTTATTAACATTTAAAGTTAGGGATAAATTGGTAATTTTAAACATCTTTCGAAGGCTCCAGAAAATTTGGAGCCATGTGACATGCCACGTGTGTTGCTAAGATGAAAGGAAGAAACAAAAAATGGATGGTTGAGATTGAAAGAAAAGCATAGAAAGGAGAGAAGGGGGAAAGAATCAGGGGGGAGGACCAATGGGGAGAGATAACTGAGAGAAAATGAGAGGAAAGAGACACGAGGGATTGGGACCCAGGTCTTGGTGACCTAACCCGGTTCGACGCCATACATGTTTCTGATAGGATTTCACCCCTTTTTCCGGTGAATTGTGTCAAACAACCATTTGGAAACCCCTCAATGACCTTCCCTCTCCCTATTACATCCCCAAAATCATGAAATTTGGACTTGCATTTGGGAAGAACACACCCGAGGGTGCCGCGACCTTCCTTGCTTGAAATCCACCAAATCTGAAATGATTTGATTCAATTACCACTACCAATAGACTCCTCTTAACCCTAGGAACAAAGCCCAAGCAATGGTTGAGGTGTCGGAGTTTGTTTGGAGTTGAATCAAGGACACCAATTTCTAGGGTTCCGACGATTTTGAGGGAAATTGGAGCTTTTCCCGGCCAAATAGGAATTGGCCATAGGTATATAGTTGGCTCTACTCTTCGAGATCTTTATTTCTGTAATTTTTGAGAATTTTTAGAAATAGTTGAATTTTTTCTGCGAGTCGGGCCGGCCAACCGCCACCTGCGGCGACGCGTGGCCAGTGGGCCGTCTCTGCCTCTTTTACATAATTTTCGATACTCTGAATCTATATTTGATGTACATATGGTGTGATTCAATTATTTGGACCGATTTTGTGATAGTTAGTCACTAAAAAGTCGAAGTTAATGAATTTGGAAACAAAAGGCTTGATCCCACTCCAAGGTACGCATGCAGTCTAACAGTATTAGATGCAGCCTTAAATAACTCGAAAAATAATTTTTAGAATGGGAAGTGTTTTATAAAAGGAAATAGTGACAAAGTGAGAATAAATTTGTATGTTTGGTGTTTAAAATTTTAATTATGAATCATGGTTGTAAACAAGACAAATAATTAAAGGATTACGATAGGTGGTAGTTAAATAATTGAGAGAAATCCTTTGTGGTGATTTTGTACTAATGAAAGGAATTTAGTAAATAATTTGAGTCTTTACCTTATGGTTATTTAATTAAGGGTTGATTTTGAATTTAATGTAAGAATTAGTGAATTGAATATAGTAGAAAATAAATAATTAATGGTAGTCAATTAAACATGATTTTTAGGTTGTGCCTGTCACCAATAATATTCCCAAAAATAAAAAATATTTCGGGGTGGGGTGTTACATTAACCAAGGCCTAAGAGGGGGTGTGGAAATAGTTTTCAATCAATAATGGACGCACTTCAGTTATAACCTCGTTATCTTAAGGCAGACCTCGTCGTTCTTTGCATCACTAGACCACCAGGGAAACGACAAACAAGCTCTCCAAGATTAAGGTTGTGAGGATGTTGATCGCTTAAATGTTAATAGTGATGTCCCAAAAGTTGTTGCCAATGGGCTAAGCTGTCACCAAATATGATCTCGATTTAGGTTCAATTCGGTGAAGGGTATCAAAGTGTGTAAAGATGGGTGTATTGAGGTTTTTTTTAGAGAATAGAGAGCCAATGAGGTATAGAAATGTGGACTAAGGTCGGAGGTGATTGTACGACTAGGTTTTTGGATTGACAATTTTTTTATTAACTATTAAAAACCTAAAAACAAAGAATAATAACTCAAGATTTAGTTTTTTTTTTTTTTTTTTTGACAATCGATATTATTTACACTAAAGAGGAGGGGTGAGCTTAGCCTCACAATAGGCTAGCAATAATGACTCAAGATTTAGGGTGTTTTAGAAACCGTAATTATAGGAAGCACTTTTACTCATAAATGTCTTTGGTATAATTGCTTTTATTATAGAAACATAAATTTTTTACTAAAAGATCAAGTACTTCTTTAGAAGGAATTATTTTTTACTCACCATCCTAAAGTGATGATAATGTTCCCCACCTTATTGATTACTAGTGGATGAGTTTAATTTAAGCTATTTACTATACAAATCTCAAATTTTAAATTAATCTAACGATAAGTAATAGTGTGGTGAGCATCATCATCACATTAGAGCGATGGGCTCTCATTAAATAACCGTAACAAATTTAAAAGTAAATGCTAACCCTGAAAATTACAAAGCCTATGTGGCGTGCAAGCTGAGTAACTATGAGTTAAGTACGTCCTTCTTGGGAATGTGGGCATGCCAACTCGCAACTGAACTTGGTCGAGGGAGTAGAATAGATGTGGTGGTGTTGAATGCTTGCTGGTTTCTGCAGTTTAACGACTATGGTCGAGGAAGGAACACATCTTGGCCTCGAGTTCTAGAACCTTAAAACAAGGTTGCCTAGTTCACTGCAAAGTTCAGGATCTCTTGCATTAGGTTCAGTTGCCTCAATTATATTCGTAAGAATATAAGCGTGCCGAATTTGTAGGGGCACGGGTGCTCAAAGGAGATGAGTGTTTTTATGGTGAATGTGAATAGGTAATCAACCTAAACAAAAACCATGTTGTTAATCCAAACTGAAGGTACTCCATAATTGCTTGATTCTATAGCTCCAGTGCTGTTAATCTGAACTAAAGGCGTGTTGACGAGAGAGTTAGGATAATTAGTATTTTTCTTAGGGGTGTGAAGAAGGCTTCACGTAAAGTGACTGTTTCCGCATAGAACGTTTGAGTTGTTTGCTAAGTTGAAAGGGCTTTTTCACGTCGCATAACCATTTCTACTTATAGGGTTAACCTTCATGATAAACAAGCTTGTCAAGGTAGAATCCTGATGGAACTGTGTTTGCTTGACATTTACTTGAATATTCCCTTTATTTCTTTAATTCCCTTCTTAGCCAAGGCTTCATCTTCACATAGTCTCGGCTTTTTTGATTTGAACTAGGATTCTGATTAAGAATGAATTATGATCCTTGGGATAATTTGCATTTATCAGAGCTTTATTTTGATCCTTGACACATTCAATTTGCCTCAAACTCAACCGAGTCAGATATGATCTTAGTCCTCACACAATCCTATTCTTATGAGGACTTGGTCGAATAAACCCTTTCTTGGCCTAAAGCCCACTGACCTGAGGGATCTTTACTGGGCCAAAGGATGTGGCTTTTCAGCTCAAATTTGCCCATTATCGACTCAAACTGTTATTTCAGACCTAAACAGTAAACCTAAAAGTAATTAGAAGTTGTTCAATTGAAAAACACTATGACCTAGAAGAACTTTAAGCATTTCCGCCAAGTACGACAAAACACTCTTAATTGTTAGACAATATTTTAGCCCTTTTTAATATAATCCCAAAAACACCCATATAGTCATGCACTTGGCGATAAGAATTTTGATGCCAAGTGGCTCCAGGGCCAGAATACTTGAGCTATACACAAAAGTTGCAAGAAAATGAGGAATATTTTCCATCCTGTCAAAGGCAGAGGATTTGAGAACTAAAGTGGAGAGGTTGTAACTTGGATGAGATTTGTTTTTGTTGCAGAATAAGATGAGAGAAATACGAAGATATAGAAAATAAAACATGTGGCTGCTGTTTCCCTATCAATTTGTATACCACCCACTCTCCATTGGCATTAACCAATCCTCTTCAGTCTTTCGCTCACTCATTCCCGCGTCCCACCCGACTTCTCTCTCTAGCCTACAGGCGTGGGGCAGAATTTCACCCAAAAAGTTGGAAAAATTAAAGCAAAGAAAAGTAAAGGATGTGTTAAAAAACAAAAAAAAAAAGGTAAGTACAAAAAAATTCAAATCTTTCACTCCCGAAAAATGAAACCAACGCTTTTGTTGCTGATGGGTGTAAAATCACGTCCTCATAATACACAAAAGTAGGAGAAATAAAGCAAAAAGATAAGATTTGTAAAACACAAAACTAAGAGAAGTAACGCAAAAATATTAGATTTACATACAACCCCCTGGTCCCTGGTGGTGGTGTGCTCCTAGAGGGAGAAAGACACATAGAGAAGAGAGAGAGACAGAGAGAGATAGAAGAGAAGGAAGATATGTCTCTAATATTATAGTTTGAGAGAAAACTGGTGTTCTGGGTTTTGTTGGTTGTTGAAAAAAATATAATTTTGGAGATGTCAGGTGGTGGTTGCAGTGTGGTTTGGTTCAGGAGAGATCTGAGGGTTGAAGATAACCCAGCTTTGGCAGCTGCAGTGAGAGCAGGAGGTGTGGTTTGTGTCTTCATCTGGGCTCCTGATGAAGAAGGCCCTTATTATCCTGGAAGGGTGTCAAGATGGTGGCTTAAACACAGCTTGGCTCATCTGGATTCCTCCCTAAAAAGTCTGGGTGCTTCTCTCATCACCAAAAGATCCACTGACAGTGTTTCTTCTCTCCTTGAAGTTGTTGTTTCCACTGGTGCCACTCAGCTTTTCTTCAACCACTTATATGGTAACATCAATTTTTCTTAGTTTTTATGCTTCTCAATCTTTTTGCTTTTGTGTTTTTTATTTTTAATTTGTTTAGGCTTTTGAGTTTCTATATTTTTCTGGATTTTGTGATTTTTCAATGAATTTGTTGGTTTGGTATGTTAAATCTCTAGTTTTGGTTGAAAGAAATTGAATTTGGTTTGTTTTCAACATCAAAGTTTGGTGCTTTGATTGATTTGATGAAGCTGTCTGTTAAGTATTACCTACCATGTTACTATTTTTGGATGATTTACTGTTCATTTAGCTGCTGACTATTGATTGGGGCAGAAATGTTAGATTGTTGGTAGTGTACTGGTCCCTTTTTTATCAGGACTGGGAGCAGATTTATTTGCCATCTGTTAACATAGCCTAATTGAACTTTGTCTGTTCTGTCCAAGGATTCTTCTGTTATCCAGTTGATGAACTCTTGTATTTCGATTTTGCATAGTTGAGGAGATAAAAATATAAAAAATCAGAGTTTTGCAATTTAATGCTCAGTTCTTTGATTCTATCTTCGTGTTTCAGATCCTATATCACTGGTTAGGGATCACAGGGCCAAGGAGGTTTTAACTGCTCAAGGCATAGCTGTGCGTTCCTTTAATGCGGATTTGCTCTACGAACCATGGGATGTTATTGATGTCCATGGTCGGCCGTTCACAACCTTCGATGCCTTTTGGGGAAGATGCCTTAGCATGCCATATGACCCGGATGCACCACTTCTTCCCCCTAAGAGAATTATTTCAGGTTTAAATGCATTTATTTTCTTCTTGAACTTCAACTCTATTCAGCGTACAGCTAGCTTTTATTCGATCTCATGTTCCTCTTGTTTATTTTCCTACAAAAATATTGAAGGGCTGATCCCACATTTTTCATTGGTGTGGTTGGCCATTTTATGTTCTCAATTTCTTATCCAAATGAGTCAAACTGAATAGAATCGAAAATGTGGATGGAAGAAGGCTCTTCTGGTTCCTATATTTTCCTAAGGATTTAATAGTAATAAGATCTTCTTGGTGACTATCAACAGAAAATTGTTGACACAGTGTACACTTCATGTGTTGGAAATAGCAGATATTTTAGGCACATAAAGTTTTCCCTGTGTGAGTATTCTACCTAAGTTAAAAGGTGATAAACCCTTTTGATGTTGGAGTTGTGTCACTGCCTCTATAAGCCTCGTGATATAGCCTCTAAGGTGGAGTAGTTGTCATGAGTCATGACTATGTTACTGTTGAACATGCTGGGTTCACTGACGGCTTAATTTGCAATTATTTTCTTTTCTTTTGTTCTTGTTCTTTGTGTGTCATGGGTTTCCTGATTCCTCCAGTACGCGTTTTTGTGCAGTTATTTCCAGTTCTACTTGCATACCACCTTTCAGTTCAAATCTTAGATTAACATTCAAACATTCATGACCTTTGCAGGTGATGCATCAAGGTCTCCTTCTGATACATTGGTTTTTGAAGATGAATCCGAGAAGGGAAGTAATGCACTTCTTGCTCGAGCATGGTCACCTGGGTGGAGTAATGCTGATAAGGCTCTGACTACATTTATAAATGGACCCTTACTTGATTACTCTAATAACCGCAGAAAGGCTGATGGCGCTACAACATCTTTACTTTCTCCCCATTTGCATTTTGGGGAGGTGAGTGTGAGAAAGGCATTTCATCTTGCTCGTATGAAGCAGGTTGTTTGGGCCAATGAAGGCAACAAGGCTGGTGAAGAGAGTGTAAACTTGTTTCTGAAGTCTATTGGTCTTCGGGAATATTCAAGATACATTAGTTTTAATCATCCTTACAGTCATGAAAGACCTCTTCTTGGGCACCTAAAGTTCTTCCCCTGGGTATTAGATCAAAAGTATTTCAAGGCATGGAGACAAGGTAGAACTGGCTATCCATTGGTGGATGCGGGCATGAGAGAGTTGTGGGCCACTGGTTGGCTACATGATCGAATACGAGTAGTAGTTTCTAGTTTCTTCGTAAAGGTTCTGCAACTTCCATGGAGATGGGGGATGAAGTATTTCTGGGATACACTCTTAGATGCTGATCTTGAAAGCGATGCTCTTGGTTGGCAGTATATATCTGGTACTTTACCTGATGGTCGTGAATTTGACCGCATAGATAATCCACAGGTGCGGATGTTGAGCTTGATTATCTTGAATTATATTGAGCATGTGCTGCTGAACAAACATTCAAACACTTCTAAATTTATACAATGGAAAAAAATTTCCATGCGTTTTTATTCATATTTTTGGGAGCAGCCTCTCCATAAATGGGGGTAAGGTTAGCCGACATTCACCTCTCCCAGACCCTGCGTAAGGCGGGAGCCTTGTGCACTGGGTACGACCTTTTTTTTTTTACGACCTTTTTTTATTCATATTTTGCAGTTTTGGCTTTATTCTAGTGTCCTCATCTAGGGTCACCAGCAATGAATAGAAATCTAGTGCAGTTGTTTGTCCGTGCTCATGACTGTTCATAAGACTGCATTTTTTCAGCCCCCTCAGTACAGTAATGGCTACTAGGTTTATATGGATTGTGGCATGCTGATTATTAACTTATTATCTTAACTAGCCTAAGAAGCAAACCATGGGAATAGTGCTTTCAAAGTAGTTGGCATCCCTTTGAAATCTACTCTACAGTATCAATACGGCTTTGTTTTTCTTTTCTTTTTTTGCTTTTTATGGAATTTGACATCCTGCTTTTTAAACTATTAGAAAAGAGAAATCGCGGAGTTGTTTCCCCAAATCACTACTATATCATCATACAAGAAAAACTGCAAAAATCTAGTGTTGAATTTTTTTGTTTAACTAATGTTTCTTCACTTTTACCTATATGTCTTGGTACAATGCATCGAGTGATATAAATTGACATGCTCCTTTTGTTCTGAGAGGATTATGCAATACTACCACTCTTATTTGATCCAGTTCCACTACTGAAATCTCGTATTTATTTGATTTCTACAGTTTGAGGGTTACAAATTTGATCCAAATGGAGAATATGTGCGGAAGTGGCTTCCTGAACTTGCTAGGCTACCAACTGAATGGATACACCACCCGTGGAATGCACCAGAATCTGTTCTACAAGCAGCTGGAATTGAATTAGGATCGAATTACCCTCTACCTATTGTAGGCATAGATGCAGCGAAAACCCGGTTGCAAGAAGCTTTATCAGAGATGTGGCAGCACGAAGCTGCTTCAAGAGCCGCTGTTGAAAATGGGACTGAGGAAGGACTTGGAGACTCCTCAGAATCAGTACCAATTGCCTTTTCTCAAGACATACAAATGGAGGAAAATAATGAACCTGCAAGGAACAACCCTCCTGGCACTCGGAAGTATGAGGATCAAATGGTCCCAAGCATTACTACTTCGTTGGTTAGAGCTGAAGAGGAAGAAACTTCTTTGGAACTTCAAAATTTGACAGAAGAAACCAGAGCGGAAGTGCCTACAGACTTAATTGTGAATCAGGAACCAAGAAGAGACATATTAAACCAAGGGTTTTTTCAGACTATTCATAACAATGCTCTTCCACAATCCAATGCTGCAATAGGGCTACAACACGCTGTTGAAGATTCGACTGCAGAATCTTCCAGTAGCACTAGGCGAGAGAGGGATGGAGGTGTAGTTCCAGTTTGGTCTCCTTCAAGTTCTAGCTACTCGGAGCAGTTTGGGAGTGAAGACAATGGCATTGGAACAAGTTCGTACTTGCAGAGACATCCTCAGTCTCACCAAATAATGAATTGGAGGCGGCTATCTCAAACTGGGTAAAAAATCTTGAACAAATCACCAATATCCACTATGAGATTATGAAATAAACAGTCTGTTGGGTTCTTTGTTCAAACAAACAATTGAACCTTCATGTTGCCTTAGCAGTTAAGAGCTTCAAGACGTATCACAATATGGAATCGATCTGCTGGTCTCGTATGCATTACTTAAATTTCTCGAGCTTCGAAGTTCTGAAATGATATATCACAAAGCAATAAGTGATTGCCAATTTGTTCAAGATAGAGTTCATGTTTTCATTCACACGCTAGCAGTCTCATTGTTTCCTCAATGTTTCTTCTTTTACAGGTGAAACATATAGATGCAAATAGGGGAACGGAAAGAGTGCTGTGCGGCGTAATGATGCACGCCATCTAATGGATTCGGGAAGGTGAACTTGTCATCCACATTGACCGTACGACTCTTCTCTGGCACGAGTGCCTGTATTCCAATTAATACAGGCAACTTATTAGCTATCCATTTTTTTTTTCTTGTTCCACCATAATGTAGCTCTGGTGTATAGCAATGTTGTATTTATAAAGGAAGAGAGTGAAATAAGATCTGCAGTCTCTCAGGTGTTTTTCGCTCATTCCATTGGTAACAGATGCTTGGAACATATTCTATGTATCCACGTTTACCTCTTCTTGTAGGTTTGAAATTTTACTGGTCTGTTAACTTGGGTTTTGCAGCACAAAAGTTATCTGCTTAAATATTTTTAACTACTAGAAAAAATAAGGAACAAATTTTAATCATTTTTATGAAGAGAAAATTTGGTGTCGGAATTTGAATACTTCTTTTTGTGTAAATGTTCACATAAAACTCCGTTGATCTCCTAAAAGGAGCCTCAAGGGCGGTGATGGAGATCCGAAAATATGGTCTTCTGGTGAAAATGCTTTAGCACGTACTACATGCAAAACTTAATAATGTGACTGATTTAAAACTTCTACCGAGTTAAATGAAAACTTCTAACTTTAGTAGTAGAACAACTTAATCTTTGCATCTACGACTTGAGCTCAAATCTTACTCAACCCTCTTTAAATCAAAACCTATATATCTGACCTAGGATTTATGATGTTAGGACCAACTGTTTATGCAGAACTTCCACAAATCTTAATATTTAGTAGTTGTACCAAAAGTAAAAGATGTCACTACCAGTTGACATCAACTAAACCAAATACATTGCATTCTTAATTAACATCATTCAACTTCCAGCAAAAGCATTAATTGGTTAAGGAATATTGCCGAATTATTTCTCTTTTGATCTACAAACTGTTTTGTTTTAATTAAAACAATAATGTCACATCCACTCCAGCATTGTTATCATGGAAAAAGACATCATTTTGAAAATATATTAAAGAAAAAAGTAAAGATACAATAAGTTAGACAGGACATGAAGCCAAATCCTAACAAGCAAAAGAAAACTATTAGAAACATAAAATCAATTAAGAGAAACTTCTAAGAGAAACAAAAATTTGGAAGCCCCAAAAGATTATGAGCAAAAGCCGCAACTGCACAAGGCGGACAAGAATCCCACCAATGAACCCCAACATGATCAATACCATAGTTTGCCAAACAATCTTCCACCTGATTTCCTTCGCAATAAATGTGAGAAAACCGAACTTGCATGGAAGAGAGGATGGTACAACAATTTGCCCAATCAACCGATAAATGCCAAGGCACTTGAGAAGATCCCTTAGAAAGAAAATGCATTGCTAAACAAGAATCTCACTCAATCTAAAGAGAATGTCAACCCCTCTCCAAAGCCATATAAACAGCATGAATAATAGCTCTAAGTTCTGCCTCCAAGGTAGTAGCAACACCAAAAGATCATGCAAAGCATCCAAGACAATGACTTAAGTGGTCACAGAAAATACCACCAAAAGTAGCCATACTCAGAGAATCACGAGCCGCACCGTTAGTGTTAACTTTAACTTGAGAACAAAGCGAAATCATATAACCTCATGAATTCTAGGCGCCCTTGAAGGCCTTCCATGCACTCCAAGCGCTCTAAGAATGCAAGGCTCATCAACTGAGTTTAACATAAAACCTATACCCCAAGAATTCACCTCACAAAATTATAAGCAAATGTCATTAACCAACTGATCAACTGTAAACATTTTTCCTTCAAAACGGATTAAATTTCGAGCTTACCAAAGTGCGTAAAAACTTTTCCCAATCATACCCACCACAATAATTGAAGTTGAGTGCCGAAACCACGTGGCAAAGGATAAGAAAAAAAAATGATGTGATATTGGAGAATAATGCAAAAACTTGAAATAAGGCTAAAACGTCCCTACACCAAATTTCCAAAGAAAATGAGCACTCGAAAAATAAATGTTGAGCTGACTCAGTAGCCTTACAACACAAAGAGTACATTGACGTAAAAGAGAATCCCATGTGAAGCAATAAATCATCAGTTAAAAGCTTATCGTGAAGAAAACACCATAATAAAATAGAATTATGTGGTCGAAAACATCTACGCCAAACCCATCTATTCCAAGGAACAATTGCTTGCTTACTACACTTAAAATCATAAGTCGAAGATAAAGATAGTACACCATCGGAAGCAGTCAAGCAAATTAGTTGACCATCCAATCTCGACAAGGGAAGCTTAATTGTCAAAATTTCAGACCATATAGTAGAAAGGGTGGCAACATGGCAGAACCAATTCCCATTATGAATGAAGTCTGAAACATGTGCAAACAAAAGTTTACCAAGAGATTGCGGAATATCCAACCTTTTCACAATTGAATGACCAATCCAATTTGCATGTCAAAAGTTAATAGAAGCATCATTGCCCACAAACCATTTGGAGTTCTGACTAATATCTACAAATAAAGGCTGCAAACCATGCCAAATAGAAGACCGTTTATAATAAGAGCACACTTGACCGATACTAGTAAAAAATCGTGCACGAAAAAGACTAGTAGCTATTGAAGAAGTAGTAAAATATCTCAAAATTTCTTCAAAAGAAAGGCCTGATTAAAAGCTTGAAAATTCCTGACTCCAAAACCTATTCCTCTAGAAGGGCACAACATTTCTTCCAAGAAACAGTGAAATAGGCTCGAGAATTTATACTCCCTGTCCAAATAAAATTGCGAGCCTAGTTGTGAACTTGTAATAAAATAGACTTAGGCCAATCATAAATAGAGTAACTTTGAGATAACATGCTAACAACTACATAATTAATAAGAGTCACTCTGCGGGCCATTTACCAATCATATGTACAATTACCAATCTTGTCTGCCAAAACTTGGAAATAAGTTTCAGTCGTCCAACAAAAATTGGAACCCCAAGATAAATAAAGGGAAGCCTTCCAATGGGAATTCCTAACCAAGAGTAAATTAGAGACCGACGAGGAACAGCTGACTTACCCAAATAAACATGAGACTTTGCTTTATTCACCAATTGTCTAGAATTCAAGCCATACTCATCAAAGAAAGCTGTAAGTTGTACCAAACTAGCCTTGTTCCCCTTACAGAAAACCATGATATAATCCACAAAAAGAATATAAGAGGGAATTTTAGCTAGCTTTGACCCTTCCCGTTCCAAATAAATGTACTAGACCTCAGCTTCGCAAGACAAAAAAGAAAAGGAAATAATGGATCACCCTGACGAACACCACGACTACTTTCAAAGAAGCCAGCGGGAATTCCATTAGAAAGAATAGAAAGTCTTGCAGATGTCAGAATAGAGCTTACCCATTGAACAAAAGTTGAGTGGAACTCAAAAGCCGTAAGAACTACAACAACAACAACAACAACAACAACAACAACAAAGCCTTTTCCCATTAAGTGGGGTCGGCTTTATGAATCCTAGAACGCCATTGTGCTCGGTTCTGTGTCATGTCATCTGTTAGATCCAAGTACTCTAAGTATTTTCTTAGAGTCTCTTCCAAAGTTTTCCTAGGTCTTCCTTTACCCCATTGGCCTTGGACCTCTATCCCGTAGTCACATCTTCTAACCGGAGCGTCAGTAGGCCTTCTTTGCACATGTCTAATCCACCGTAACCGATTTTCTCTCATCTTTCCTTCAATTTCAGCTCCTCCTACTTTACCTCGGATATCCTCATTCCTAATCTTATCCTTTCTCGTGTGCCCACACATCCAACGAAGCATCCTCATCTCCACTGCACCCATTTTATGTACGTGTTGATGCTTCACAGCCCAACAGTCCATGCTATACAGCATTGCCGACCTTATTGTCGTCCTATAAAATTTTCCCTTGAGCTTTAGTGGCATACGGTGGTCACATAACATGCCGGATGCACTCTTCCACTTTATTCATCCAGCTTGTATTCTATGGTTGAGGTCTCTATCTAATTCTCTGTTCTTTTGCAAGATAGATTCTAGGTAGCGAAAGCGGTCGCGCTTTGGTACTTCCTGATCTCCGATCCTCACCCTTAACTCATTTGGGCCTCCATTTGTACTGAACTTGCACTCCATATATTCTGTCTTTGATTAGCTTAGGCGAAAACCTTTAGATTCCAACACTTCTCTCCAAAGGTTAAGCTTCGCATTTACCCCTTCCTGAGTTTCATCTATCAACACTATATCATCTTCGATAAGCATACACCAAGGAATATCATCTTGAATATGTCCTGTTAACTCATCCATTACCAATGTAAAAAGGTAAGGACTTAAGGATGAGCCTTGATGTAACCTTACAGTTATGGGGAAGCTTTCGGTTTGTCCTTCATGAGTTCTTATGGCAGTCTTTGCTTCATCATACATATCCTTTATAGCTTGGATATGTGCTACTTGTACTCCTTTCTTCTCTAAAATCCTCCAAAGAGTGTCTCTTGGGACTCTATCATACGCTTTTTCCAAATCTATAAAGACCATGTGTAAATCCTTTTTTCTATCTCTATATCTTTCCATCAATCTTCGTAAGATAGATTGCCTTCATGGTTGAGCACCCTGTCATGATTCCAAATTGGTTTTCCGAAATCCGTGTCTCTTGCCTTAATCTATGCTCAATGACTCTCCCAGAGCTTCATTGTATGACTCATTAGCTTAATATCCCTATAGTTCATGCAATTTTGTACATCGTCCTTATTCTTGTAGATAGGCACCAAAGTTCTCTTTCGCCACTCATTTGGCATCTTCTTCATTTTCAAAATCCTATTGAAAAGGTCTGTGAGCCATGTTATACCCGTCTCTCCCAAGACTTTCCACACTTCGATCGGTATATCATCTGGGCCCACTGCTTTTCTATGCTTCATCTTTTTTAAAGTTACAATCATTTTTTCCTTCCTGATTCGGCGGTAAAATGAGTAGTTTCTACACTCTTCTGAGTTACTCAACTCCCCTAAAGAAGTACTCATTTCATGTCTTTCATTGAAAAGATTATGAAAATAACCTCTCAATCTGTCTTTGACTGCGTTCTCTATAGTAAGAACATTTCCATCATCATTCTTGATGCACCTCACTTGGTTTAGGTCCATTGTCTTCTTTTCCCTTACTCTAGCTAGTTTATAGATATCTAACTCTCCTTCTTTGGTATCTAATCGCTTATACATATCGTCATAAGCCGCTAGCTTAGCTTCTCTCATAGCTTTCTTCGCCTCCTGCTTCGTTATTCTATACCTTTCACCATTTTCATCGGTCATATCCTTGTATAAGGCTTTACAACATTCCTTCTTAGCCTTCACCTTTGTTTATACCTCCTCATTCCACCA